CCGGTGTTCCTGTCACTGTGCTGTGGTGTCTTGCTGAGTGAGGTTCATTACTGTTGTGTATTTTTGTGTGCTGTCGCAAGAATGTTGAAGCTTCAATGAGAGCAATGAACAAACATTCATAAATTTCTTGTTAAAGTTGGCAAGAGTGTAAGTGAAATCAGGGACATGTTAGTCCAAGTTTATGGGGATAACACCATGAAGAAAACAGCAGCCTACAAACGCATTAAATGTTTTTCAGAGGGGAGAGAAATCGTCACTGATGAAGAGAGGTCAAGGCAGCCAGTAACAAGCAGAACTGATGGAAACATTGGAAAAATTTGTCAATTGTGAATCCAAATCACCAGCTGACTGTGCCAAGCATAGTGACCACGTGAGCATCGACAAAGAAACAGTTAAGAACAAACTGAAAATCTTGGGATGACAAAGATGTGTGCGGAAATGGGCTCAAAGGAGCTCCCCAAGGAACACTGTCTGGGAGGGAGTTTTTAGCCAGTAAACAAATAACTGTATTGGAACACCCTCCCGCTCACCTGATCTGGCCCCCAGTGACTTTTTTCTTTACTTGAACCTAAGGGAATATTGAAAGGAAGACATTTTGGTGACATTCAGGATATTAAGGGTAGTATAACGACAGCTTTGATGGCCATTCCAGAAAAAGTTACACAATTGCTTTGGAGGGTAGTCTATGTGCCCGAGTCAGGGCAGCTTCCCCGGGGAGCATTTCAAAGGTGACCACAGTAATTTTCAGCAATGAGATATATAGCACTTTTTCTAGGATGAATTTGTTAACTTAATTGTCAAAGCAAGGCTTAAACAGCAAATTAAATGCTGTTTAAAATGGTGTATATAGAGATTTAAGCCTTTTAAGCAAAAATTTTGTAAGTGTGACCACTTGACTCTCAGGCAGTCTGGTAAGTGCTGGGATTATATTCTGATCTGCAGAGGATGAAAAGATACCTGGACACCCTCACCACCTTCTCACTGGAGGGTGTGAAACTGGGTTTACCCTGAGATGTCTCTCATTTATAATTCTGCCTTTATCCCCTGCATAGCAAATAGCTTTTGGAGGACATAGCTAGTGTCCTGGTCAAGGCTTGTTAGCAGTGGTTCTTCATTCCTCTTAGAGTACAGATTTCCTCTGTACAGAAGCTCCTTCAGTGCCTGATGGGGATGTCCTGGATTCTCACCGTCTGCTTCTGGGCGTGGGCTGAGATGTGGACATGCGACTCAAGCTTGGAAACCTGGACTTTCCTGGTTAATTGAATCTTGAGGGGAATTGTGCAAAGTCTAAAGCAACCGTTGGAGCTCACACATCCAGGGACATTCCCCTGATGGTGATGTGTGGTCCCTGGCCCCATTCCTATCCTGCTCCCATGTTTCCATCAATCTGGGAAGGAGAGAAACAAGGTAACAAATGGCTGTGGGGGCTGAGAATGGCTAGGGAGACCCTCAGGAACCAGAAAGAAGGGAGCAGAGAAGGGCTCAGAGCAAAGCTTCAGCTATTCCCAGAGTCCAGCCAAAGGGACTTTTCTCTTTTTCTTTATTTTGGTTTTTGGCAGGGAAGTTTTCTCCCATCTAAGTACTAACCAGGCCCAATCCTTCTTGGCTTCCGAGATCATATGGGACTGGGCATGTTCAGTGTGATATAGCCGAAAGAGGTAGAGTGGTTTTCTGTTGCATACAATCAGAAAGTTCTAAATGCTGTAGCCAAGCTCTGACCCTGTCTCACCACCTCCCCTGGTCTACTACCTGCCTTCTCTTACCTGGGATACTATAACAGCCTCTTCACTGATTGAAGCAGATAAACACAGGTAGATAGATATGAAAACACTTAGAAGTCAAATCAAGTTGGCTCTCTGCTCAAAACCTCCCCTGGCTCCCCAGTCCACTCTGAGGCAAGAGCAAAACCTCTGTAGTGTCTAGGAAGGCCTGCCACGGCCTGGCTCCCTGTTACTCTATGACCTTACCTGCACCCCCTTCTCCTTCCTTGCTGCCCTGGCCCCCAGTCCTCTCACCAGCTTCCTCCTGCCCCTGCATTTTCACCTGGCTCTTCTCTCTCCTTAGTCACCTTTTCTCCAGAGAGCCACTCTGGCTGATTCTCACCCCACTGTCTGCAGATTACAGGGGATATTCTCTTGGCTTCAGTATTATCTGGATGGTAAGACTGTGATCATCTTTTGTTTATTTAATTTTTTCTTTCTTTCTTTCTTTCTTTCTTTTTTTTTTTTTTTTTTTTTTAGACAGAACCTCAAGCTGTCCCCCTGGGTAGAGTGCTGTGGCATCATAGCTCATAGCAACCTCAAACTCCTGGACTCAAGCGATCCCCTTGCCTCAGCCTTCTGAGTAGCTGGGACTACAAGTGCTAGCCACAATATCTAGTTATTTTTAGAGACAGGGTCTCGCTCTTGTTCCAGCTGGTCTCGAACTCCTGAGCTCAGTCCACCCGCCTCGGCCTCCCAGAGTGCTAGGATTGCAGGCACGTGCCCCCATGCCCAGCCTGATCACCATTTGAAGTAGCCACACTTTTCCACTGCAGATATTTTCTACCCGTTCCTTAGTTTATAATGCATTTTGCCATAGAATTTTATCATCATATAAGATGCCATAGTTATAAAATTGATTTTTAACTGATGCCTGTATTCCTAGCACTCTGGGAGGCTGAGGTGAGTGCCTGAGCAAGAGCAAGATCCCATCTCTAAAAATAGCTGGGATTTGTGGTGGGCGCCTGTCATTCTAGATACTTGGAGGCTGAGGCAAGAGAATCGCTTGAGCCCAAGAGTTTGAGGTTGCTGTGACCTACAAAGGGTAACTGGGGAGACGCAAAACAAACAAACAAATAAATGAAACAAAAACAAAACAAACAAACAAAAAAAGATTTCCTGTGGATGCCCACTGGAATGTAAGCTTCACATAGGCATCAGGCGTGTCCACTGCCGTGTCCCCGCATATAAGAAAATAGAGCTTAGCACATTAATTGTTAAATAAATGATGTAGCCCTGGGGGAGCACCTGGGTATTACTCGACTTATATCCATGAGATCTAGTACAGACCATGGCACAGAATGGGCTATATATATATATATATATATATTTATTATTCCTAGCTGCTGTGACTATTAAACAGGATGGTCTTCAGGATGTAATCTTTTCATGGTTTCGCTGTGGTAGATAAGTGGTTTGTAATGATCATAGGAACTAACTCCACTGGGTATTTGAGCTTACATTCATTTTGATGGGAAAAAAGAAGAAGAAGAAAAAAAAAGCAACCAGATCAGGAAAGAACTTGATTAAAGAAAAGCTGAGATTAGTTTCAGTAAGTTTACACAGTCCAGTCAGCGTTTTGGAGGTGAAACTCTGAAGTGAATCAAGCCAAGAAATACAATTGATCGTCCTCATCTGCAAATTTCATTTGCAATTTCAACTGAAGTGTGAGTGTAATGGGATGTTATTAGTTCTCTTAGAGGCAAAGATTTCCAGGGTAGGAAAATGTGTGTGTGCTCGCTGGGTCAGTGAGACATGGGCTGTTCCCAGACACTCCTTGGAAAGACAGAAGAGAATGTCAGTAAGGAAGACGTTTTGGTCCCTCCATCCTCTTCTCCCCTGCCCCCACCCCCCCAACTGAGCCAAATGGTTGGAGCATTGTGACAAAAAAGAAAGATAATTTTATTCCGAATTTAGTCCATTCTTTCAGTGTGAATATTTCTTTTCTTCCTTTTGCAATCAAGCATTCTAATATTCTCCTCCCATTCCCAAATTGTGTCTTTTAGGCTGGCAGGGCTTCCAATTGTATTACTCATAATTTCTAATTGTTGAAACTGATTATTTCAGTGATTAATGAGAACTACTTCTATGATTATAGGATACTGTTGAACAATGGGCTCTTTTCAAAATCTCATTGGTCAGTTTCGATTTAGTTAGAAAAAAATCACAGAGGCAAAAATATAAGTTTTGAGAAATTAACTTTTTTCGCTTCAGAAAGACACTAACTTACGTTCTTCTTACCAAAAATAGGAGAGGAAAAAATTTGCTGTTTACTTGATAGAGTACTGCTTAAGTTAAACTTTAAAACACAAAAGAACTTTTCCTTCTTGAGATCTGGCAATTTTGAAATGCTGAGCTACTTTAATTCTTTCCTTTTATAACTTAACTCTGGAGTTTCTGCTTTAGATTTGTGAATTCCCAACCTCCAAGAGCATAGTCCAAGTTTATTTTAATGGTTTTTCTTTTTAATAAAAATAATACATGGCATTGACAATATTTGCATTAGATAAATCCCAGTTAAGGTAAAGTCCAACTTGTTTGAGACCTGTTGTTCACGTCAAAGCCACCTGGCCCTGGAGGCGGTTCCTCAGCATTGGTGTCCCCAGGACAGGAACAGCTTCTGAAAGGGAGGAGAGAGTTGAAGCACAGATCTGTCAGATCAGAGGGTGCATAGCAATGGAAGAAATGAGATAAGTATCTAAGAACTACAAGCAAGAATGAACTGTTTTGTTTTGTTCTGGTTTGTTTTTTGTGTTAGGCTTACACGGTTATGGAAATAGAATTTGTTGTTGGATTTTTAATGGATATTCAAATGGCAGCATTGATTTTCTATTTTTATTTTATTTTGTGTCTGATAAGTGTTGTTCTTATACATGTAAGGTCAAATAAAGTAACTGTCTAGCTTGGGAGATCAGTTTTGTTATTTATCAGATAATATGTACTAATAGTCAGCAGAATAATTGTAAGTCCAGATAGCAGGGAATTTTTCTGTTGCCAGAGCTCAGAACACATCCCATCATGCACAGGACACAGTAGGTGCTCTGTTGTACACATGCTTAAGTGAATCCGTTGGACTAATGGGATTTTTTTTTAAATGTTTTTTGACCATTGACCAGAAACTGCATCACTTATCTCTTTCATATGCTCTATTCTCATGCCATTTACAGTTTTTAGGATATGAGCATTAGGTTTATAATAACAGTTCCTTGAGTTTGAGTAACTTTATGAGAAACACTCATATACATTATTGTAGCATGTTCCTACCACATCCCTCTGAGTTAGGAAGCTTGGACACATAAAGGCTAACCAACAACTGTTCATTATCAATATTTATTCTGACACCTTTGCCCATTCTCTACTTTTCCTAACCATTTGGTGGGTGTGATGAACACATTATTAACTTCTAACAAAAAATTTCCTGCCTAAAGACTTGTTGCTTAATAGGGTTAAAATAATGATAAAGCTTCTGACACCTTTGCATTGTTGGCATGAGATTGAAGGTTTTATTTTAAGTAGCTGTTTTCTAAACTGAAGTTCAGCATGATGGAAGAGTAACCTCTAAGGGCTATCTACTTGAAGATTGTTTACTTGGGGATTAGCAAGACGCTTGGTGGCTTATTACAAGTTTGGCTTCTTCCTGGAGACACCTGAAGGTTGGTATGTGCCCACAGATTGCAAAATACTGTAGTTTTTATAGCAAATTCAACACAACAGAAATGTTTTCTGAATTATGAGACTCATGCATGTATTGTTAAATTCCCCAGTGGGAGAATTCAGAGCTGATTTGAAGTGAAAACCAGTATATTACAGAACTTATTTAAGGTCTGCAAACGTATTAGGAAAAAAATAGTCTGTCTTTTCTTAAAGTTGTCTGCCTAAAGTTTTTTCCCTCTGGTTTGCCAATTTTATTGTCTTTGTCTTTCTTACTCTCTTCTCTGCAAAGATGCAAGATCAGTTGCCTCTTCTTCCCGTAAGCAATTTCTGTAGTTGGTCCTTTCAACAAGACAGTGCATATTTATTTGATTAATCAATTTGATTAATATTTTCAGAATTTTAGATCTGGAAAAGTTTTATCGGTTTTGGGTTTTTTGGGCAAAATTTAATCTTAATCATCCTGGTCATCAAGCTTGCCCTTATGTTTGCTCAGACTAAGCTCTCTTCATTTCCTGAATTTTATTGTAGAAATAGAGCTTGGTTTGGCTGGCACTCTCCCTCTCTCTCTCTCTCTCTCTAGTCATCTCACCATGTTGCTCGGGCTGCAAGGCAGTGGTTATTCACAGGTGCAATCATAGCTCAGTGCAGCCTTGAACTCCTGGGGTCAAGGGATCCACCCTCATCAGCCTCCTGAGTAGCTGCAACTAAAGGTACACACCATGCCTGGCTTTGAAATTGTTAATTAATACCTCCAGAAACTTTCCTTAAGGCAACTAAATTGTTCCTCAATTGTTTTTTTCTCTAAATGACCTAATTCAAAATCTTTAAGTATTTTTATTCTTCTTCCTTTTCAATACTCTCTGATTTTAAATATCCTGAAAGACATACCCAACTATAGATTGACTCAGATTTAATTGTAATTTATTGTAACTTTCCATTTTTTCCATCTAACGTGTAAACCTCTTATAGTCAAGGACCTTGCCTTGCTCCATATTCCTCTGTCCAACCTTGTCCTGTAGGAAGTCTCTGTTCCAGTCACAGGACAGGCTTGCATAGGGTTACTTGCTAAATGATCAGTCTGATAGATGTCTGCACCTGTATCGCCGAAGTGTGACGACAAGCACTTTGAACGTCATTCCCACATGAATGTTAGCTACATTAGTGGAGGCAGTAACAGTGAACTTTTTTTTTGTTAACAGAACTGAGGGTTACAGCAGTGATTAATGCATAATGCTGTGTGCCAAAGATGACAGTGAGGTCATCTCCATGTGGCTTTATGTTCTGTCACCTTGTTTACTCTGTCCTTTGATGTCTGAATAGGCATCAATTTAATGACTAGTCTTGTATAGTTATCTTCTTTTCTTCCTTTTTTTTTTCCTTTTGCGACGGAGTCTCATTTTTTCGCCCTTGATAGAGTGCTGTGTTGTCAGAGCTCACAGCAACCTCATACTCTTGGGCTCAAGTGATTCTCTCCTCTCAGTCTCCTGAGTAGCTGAGACTACAGGCGCCTACCAGAATACCTGGCTATTTTTAGAGACGGGGGTCTGCTCTGGCTCAGGCTGGTCTCAAACCTGTGAGCTCAAGTGATCTACCTGCCTTGGCCTCCCAGGGTGCTAGGATTACAGGGGTGAGTCATGTGCCCAGACCTTTTTCTTCCTTGATTACGCTTTTAAAATACTATTCCAATTTTATTTTTATTCATTTATTTATTTTTAGTTTGGGGAGGTTGAGGAACTTTTTCTCCCCAGTTATTTATTTAGCGCTGATTAGCAGTGGGCAAGGAGAGGCCCACCCCACCTCTGGAGCACTCACTCTTGGAGAAGTAACTTCTCTCCTTAAGCAAGGGAGGATGATCAGCTCCTATGTGAAAGGGGGAAAGGGAGAATCCACGGGGGAAGGCTGAGAAAGAGAGAGAAAAAAAGCAGGAAAAGTAATGGGTTTAAAGTGCATAATTCAAACCAGTTTCTAATTCTTCCCATCTTGAGGACAAAACATGGTCACTTGGTGAAGGCACAGGAGACAGGTGCCAGAGCAGCTGTCTGGGTTTCACCAGCTCAGGCCGTGATTCATTCTAAGCTTGTTATCTAACTAGAAGGATTCTCTCATCTTTAAGAGCAAAACCATCATGGATATGTTCTTCAAAGTTGATGACAGGATTTTCTTAACATTTTGAATGGTATCCAAAGTGCTCTTAGATTTTAGAGAGTGAACTTTTGAGTTACTAGGTCAATGACTGCGAACTCCATAAATGTCATATTTCATAGGTAGATAAGAATAATTGTAACTTCTTATTTACAGACACCGCAGTGATCTTTCTCAGTGATGGAGCCGACGTCTAAAGGTTAGCTCTTTAAAGTTAGAGTTTAAGATAGTGAGATACTCCATCAGGTGTGTGAGTGGGTTCTTCATCTGATGTTGAGCACTGTGAGAGGGCTTTGGGCTTTGCCTGCCTGCCTTTGGGTCCTGAATCCTGGCTCTGTCATCTTCTAGCCCTGTGGAAGTGTTAGCCAGTCATCAGCATTTTGGTGTCCATTTTCCTTTTTGTAAAAGTTCCCTCTGAGGATCATTGTGAACTTGAAATGATGTGTATATATACTCAGCTTAAAGTGCTCAGTTTGCACCCAGTAAAAGTCAGATACCATCACTCTTCCCGTTCTATGTCACATCTCTCTATTTTTTTAGCCAACTGCTCCACTTTGTCAGGTGTTCCCTGGCCCGGGGGGACTAGTTCAGGGTCTGGTCCCAGACTTCTTCCCCTGCTGCTCCCCTTTCCTTTCCTCTTTTCCAAGATGGCAGTGTTATGGAAGGCAATATTTCTCATTTCCTATCACTTTCATTGTCAGAGTTTTGACCTTATACTAAGATAAAACAGAGTTCAAAAAGTGTTAGGATGTGTTAAAGCTTAAATTGTACAGAATTCTTACCATTCCAACTTCTGGTATAATTCTTGCTTTCCTTGCAGACATAGTCTCCATTTATTCAAAAAGTACCTGTTTTCTCCTTTCTTCATGAAGACCCTCTTCCTCCAGAAGGATCAGTCCAGATGGTGGTGGGCTTGTGCGATGGGGTGACTACGATAGATTTCTGCTTCATGTAGGAAAGGTCCCTTTGGGAATTCTTTGGCAAACTCAGCACAAAACATGTTGTAGTAATAATTTCTCAAATTCAAAAAGTGCTTGTTGTTACTTAGTATGGGATTTCTAATCTTGCCAAAGCAAAGTATCACTGCAATTGGTGAGGAATCTACGTTCAGAAGTAGATTGTAAAATGGATCTTTTGTAAGCACATTACCCTCTGCAGAAGAACTCATGAGCAAACTGCTGTCTTGCTGAAGTATCAGTTGATTATTGGTTTTCCTAAATGACTGTTTTACTTTATCTTAAAGCTCATACAATGTATAACTGGTAAAGGTCATTTTTTTCTGTTATTTTATGTTTTTTTAACCTCACCTTCCCCCACTTTCTTTTTATTGTTTGCATTTAGACTTAGTGACTTTTCCTGTATTTTAAATACTTTTAAGCTACTTTAAATATTTCCTGAAATCAGGTGTTGCATAAAGCTGTTGTATTTGTGAGTATTCAAATTGTGGCATCTCTAAATCCTTCATTTTCCCACAATAATTATAGTTATTACTTCTTTCTCTCTGTGTTCTGTGAACTGTGTGCAAAAATACTTTGTAAATCATCTCTTTTAAACGCTACAACAGCAGGATGCACAAGATGTTATTTCTCTTTTGTAGGTGAGACAACTAAAGTGTAAAGAGGTTAAGGTCATGAAATTAGTAAATTAGGAAGTCAGATTTTCAACTCAGTCGGACCCAGTGCTTAAGCTCTAGCCTCTACCATTTCTAATTACTTTAAAAAGGTGATAAGGTGAGTTGGTCTTCCTTCTTTTGAAGGCCTATTGACTCTTATCAATGTTAGTATTTTTCTCATTAGTATCTTCATTGACAACAGTATTTGAAGAATTCAATGTTCTAGGACTTTAAAATATGTTGGAATAGTTTAGCATGGTTATCTAATGTCAAATTACAAATCAGGGTGGATATAATAGACATTTTAATTTGCAATCATCCCTAAGTCCCTAAGATAATTTTACCTGAATTTATTTGAAATTTGTAGAGAGTGGTCAGAGGCGATTATTAGATGCATCATTACAAATTATTATTATTGTGAAACTGAAATTGCTCGTGTGAAGACAGGTTCTCCTAGGGTTGAATTTTTATAATTGTTGTTCCTTTAATTTTATTTATTTTATCCCCCTGAGAATTTAGACAGATGTTCATTTTTAAAGTGAATTGTAAATTCATCTGAAAGTGAGCTGATGTCCTTTGGTGTTGCCTCTTACCCTGCCTGGAAGCAGGAGGGCTCCCCACCCACTCCACACCACACCTCTGAGTGGCCCTGACCATCAGGGAAGGAGAAGGGAGAAGAGGGGAGGAGAGGGGAGGAAAGAGGGGAGAGAGGGGAGGAGAGGGGAGGAGAGGGGAGAGAGGGAAGGATTGGGGAGAGAGGGGAGACAGGGGAGGAGAGGGTAGGAGAGGGGAGGAGAGAGGAGGAAAGAGGGGAGAGAAGGAAGGATTGGGGAGAGAGGGGAGACGGGAGGAGAGGGGAGGAGAGAGGAGGAAAGAGGGGAGAGAGGGGAGGAGAGGGGAGGAGAGGGGAGAGAGGGAAGGATTGGGGAGAGAGAGGAGAGAGGGGAGGAGAGGGGAGAGAGGGGAGGAATAGGGGAGGAGATGGGAGAGGAGCCTGTCTTCTCTGCCCTTGACTGAGAAGTCCAAAGGGCTGTTTTCCTCACTTTATGAGTATGGCTTTATGGTTTTATGCATAATATGAAGTGACAGGAGGAAATTATTTTCTTTTTCTCTTTTTGTTCCCAATTCCCTTTTTTTTCCTCCTAATGTTTTGGAAAGCATCCCCTTTCCAGGCATTTAAAAGCTTTTTTGGCATCTAATGCTGCCAGTGTTAACACTGGCAATTGGTGCAATTTACAATAGTACATTAAATATAAATCTGATTTTTACATCACTTACTTAAAGTCTATTTGTGATAACCCTTGTTGGTAATAATAGATATGTATTATAAATTATTGCCTGTGAAGTCTATGCACTTGAACTATATGGAGGAAAGCAATTATGTGTTAATTTAAGAAGTATTAATGAGTCTCTGTAATTTAATTTTTGTTGTGTTTTTGTCAGCTTTGAATAAGGCCAGGAGAGTTTCTATGTCCTTGAGTTAGGTAATTTCCTGTCTGGGAAAGAGACACTGAGTAATTAAAATAAATGATTTTAAGCACTTTTTGGAATTTCAAATTAACTTCTGATAAAAACCTTTCTCATCTGGATAACTTCGCAGCCTTGAAACTTTCGGAGGCATGCCCCGTTCCGCTGGTGTGATTAGAGCATTGCAGGTATGTGAGCATTTGGCTGTTTATTATTCTGCCCTGTGAAGCAGGGTATTTTTTCAGCTTTCCTGGTCTGTCTCTTTCTGTGAATGGGCACATTTGTTTGGGTTTCACTGCCGTGTATTTGATCTTCGTCTGTCTGAGGTCTCCTCCTCTGCAGGCCCTGCAGCTGTGTTTTGCTCAGAGCGCCAGCCTGTGGGGGTCTGGCTTTCCTCTCTGCTACCTTAGTTCTCTAGAGACCTTTTGGCTTCTGTTTCATTTTTCAGTGTTGTACTAGGGTCTGTGCCTTTACCAAACTTGATTTCCCCCTCAATTTAGCCTGGCTTTTTCTTGGCTTCAGCCGAGGTGCAGGTAAGAGAAGCAAGACTTATTGCAAAATATTCCAACAGTTGTTCTCTCGTCCCACGAGAGCGGTGCACACGGGGTCTGGCCCTTCTGGACGCGAGGAAGAGACACGCACTCCGGCCCATTAGTGCCTCCGGGGCTAGTGCAGAGCCCTGATGCAGCACAACAGTCAAACTTGGGTTTGTTTTTTTTTTAAAATTTTTTTTTCAATTTCAAAATATTAAGGGATGAAAATGTTTTAGGTTCCATGGCTTTTTTTGGTAAAGCTTGAGTCTCAGCTGTGGGTGTGTGTCACTCAAGTAGTGCCCTCCCCCGCCCCTCCCCTGGTCCATTTTCCCGGAGGGCGACTCCCCTGTGCAGGCTGTACCCACCGGTTAGCTGCAGTTTAACAGGAGCACATGTGGTGCTTGTTTTCCATTCTTGGGATACTTCACTTAGGAATGGTTTCCAGTTCCATAAAGATTGTTGGAAAAGGCATTAATCCATCTTTTTGGTAGCTGAGTAGTACTCCGTGGTACTCAGATTCTTCTTCTCCTCCTTTTTTTTTTTTTGAGATAGAGTCTCACTCTGTCACCCTAGGTAGAGTATTGTGGGATCATCATAGCTCACAGCAACCTCAAACTTCCAGGCTCAAGACGTCCCCTTGCCTCAGCCTCCTGAGTAGCTAGGACTCCAGGTGCCCAACTCAATGCTCGGCTATTTTTTTTAAGTAAAGACAGAGTCTCACTCTCTCTCAGGCTGGTCTCAAACTCCTGAGATCAAGCGATCCCTCAGCCTCAGCCTTCCGGAGCACCAGGATCCCAGGTGCAAGCTGCCGCAGCTGCCTTTATTCTACTTTTTATTAATCTGCTTGTGAATTGAGGGGCACTTGGTTGGTTGCATCTTTGCAATTGGGAATATTGTTGCAATAAACATTTGAGTGCAGGTGTCTTTTTGGTGAAAAGTTTTCTTTTCCTTTGGGTAAATTCGCAGTCGTGACATTGCTGGGTTGAACAGTAGAAATGTGTACCAAAGGATGGGTGGGACGGCTGACAGTCCCAGTGCCACACTGTGTGGTTTGATGTACAGATCACCTTCCTGATGGACCATCTCATCTCGTAGGAGATGTGCTGGAAATAGGGCCACGGATAGATCTTTAATTAGATTTTTTATTATTCTTTTTTTTTTTTTTCCAAAGGCTTACAGGAGGCCTGGGCTAGGTCAAATATGTTAGTTTCTCTTGCAGCTGAAATGATAAAATAGACAGTGAAATGCCCGAGCTCTGGGGCAGTAGGGCCACATTCATTTTTGTGCTCTCCTCTGTCTTTGGCACCTGCAGTTTCCAGCCTATTTGTGGGTATATGATAAATATTTTTGATAAAAGTAAAATGTAATCTAGACATGATATACTTTGTATACTCATTCTTGATCTTCTCCAATGGGATTTTATATACTTTCATTTAAAATGTCTAGAGATTATAAATAGAACATGAGCCTTGTTATGGCCTTCATGAAAGTGGATAAAAATTCAGAAAATGCTTGCAGGGATTTGTTTCATGAAGAAATTCAACCATCAATATGAGAGCATGCTTCCTGGGATGTCTCTGACAAGAAGCTTGGATACCCTGGTTCCTGGGGCTGTGGCTGACACTGCACGAGACAAGATGAGGCAGGAATACCATCCGACATGTTCCTGTCAGGAGCTGTCATGAGGTGCTGCTTTTACTGGGAAGAAATTGGTCAGTAATATGAAGGCCTTGATACGAGAGTGACTACCCTGGCACAGAATGTGTGAAATAAAGAACTCAGTACCATTTCTCAACCCACTTGGGGATAATTGGGCTCAAAATGACATTGGAGAAGTTTTTCTACATTATATGTACTGAAAACAATGTGGCTGTGGTGACAGGGATCCAATGAGAACACAAAATTATTTAGAAAATGTTCAAGGCATTGACAAGCAGAAAAGCTTATGTGCTTTCAAATGCTATGAAGCTGTTTCTAAAATATATTAATGCTAATAGCATTGTCTTGATTACCTTTGATTTTTATCCAGAGTGTGCTATTATAAGGTATCTCCTACAATTAATGGTGCTTTGTTGAAATCAGTACGACAATAATGTGACATTATGTAAAATGTCATTAGTATTGTTATGAATAAATGTACCAGGTAAGAACCCACACATTTTAAAAATGAAAGAAAGAAAAATAAGATAGGTGAAAGGTTGACAAGGGTAAGTAGAGGTAAGGAGTTAGGATACAGATCCTTAGAAAAAAAGAGAAATTTAGAATGTAGTCCTCCCTAGGCTCCAGCGGTGTCTGACATAGGGCTTGCTAGTTACAGAGCCTTGAGCTGACGTGTCGTGACATCAGTCAGCACCTCCAGTTATTCTTCCAAGGTTGTGCCAGCTTCTCCCTTGACCCTCACCCAAACCCCCAGCAGACATCCAATTACTGAGGCTACAGCCTAGGAGTCATTCTTAATTTTGCCTTCTCCCTATCTCCCACAGACAACTCATCAGCACTTCTGTAGTTCTGTTTCCAAAATAAACTTTAAAACTGCAGTAGAACCTCTGTGAGTTGAACACCCAAGGGACTCTACGAAACTGGTCAACATAAGGAACTGGCCTACTGTTCTGAAACTGAGATCACATGTGGTGCGTGTCTGGGCTATGGAAATTAGGTCAACTTGAGAAGGGAGTCAGTGTGGGGGTGGGTCAGTATGGGAAGGTGGTTACTGTGAGGCAGGTTCAGTGTGGGAGGAGTCAATATGGGAGGGTCAGTGTGGGAGGGCTCAATGTGGGGAGAGGGTCAGCGGAGGAAGGGGTCAATGTGGGTGGGGTTAGTGTGGGAGGGATCAGTGTGGGGAGGGGTCAGTGTGGGGCGGGGTTAATGTGGGTGGGGTTAGTGTGGGAGGGATCAGTGTGGGGAGGGGTCAATGTGGGTGGGGTTAGTGTGAGAGGGATCAGTGTGGGGAGGTGATCAGTGTGTGTCTGTGCCCACTGTGGCATCCCCTCACTCCGGGAATAACCAGGGATGGAAGGTACAAATGTCTGCAAGAGGGGAGCTTCCCATATCTCCAGGGAGAGCCCTGAGCAACCTCTGCTGTGGCCTTTTATTGAAGCATTATACAACAGGTGTGGGGAGGGGGCTACATACTAGGATCATGTGCTTTATGGCCGATAAGTGCTCTTTCCCCACAGGTTGACTCCTACCCTGCTGCACCTTGAATGTTCAAAGTGTAACACCTGCTTGCTAAGAAGCGACTGATCTTATCTCATTAATGCCTGCAGCTGCTTGAGGGCTTGTCTCTGGGCAACCAACATCTCCATGCCAGCTAGGAGATTGTGCTGCTCCCAGTGCTGCTTCCACAAGCCTGGTGCACAGTCTCCTACAAGTGTGGGGAGAGGTCAGTGTGGGGAGGGGCCCTCTGGGTTGTACTTATTTGTCTCATTCTCAGTGCCTGCCCTGGCCCCAAGACACTAGCATTTCTTTTGTGGCCAACTGTAAGATAGTTCTAATCTACATTCTCATCTCCCTTTTCGCACTCTTTTTTTGTTTGTTTTTGGTTTTTATTTCAAAGTAAAGGGGTATAAATGTTTTTGGTTACCTTGGATTACTTTTGTGATGCTTGAGTCCCAGCCACAGGCATGCCCCTCACCCAGACAGAGTTCACTGTACCTGTTAGGTAGGTTTTCCCCCTTCCTTCTCCCCCCTCCCCCTGCTTGATTTCTACTGAGTTTTACTTCCCTCTGTGTACATGTGTGTTCATTATTTAGTTCTAATTAATTTTTTTCCAATGATTTTGGTTGTTTCTATTTTTTTTTCTATTAAAGTCCTTTGATCATCACAACCACCCAGGAAATACAATTAAGGAGAAAGCAAATGTCCAACTGAGATCTAAGAACCCAGAGCTATGGTGGGGACATAGCACTGGACCATTGGGTGTTACAAGGGGGCAGGAGGGTGATCCCCATGAGGTGGGGCCACCACCCTGGAAGACCCAGGACGGAGGCCTGGTCAGGTGGTTATACTCATTGCTGTGCAGTGACGGTGTTGAGCCAGCTGGCTTCATTCAGGGTCTAGCTCTTTGGGAAGGTAGTTATGAGAATAAAGTGGGTGGCAGCTGTAGCTGGCTGGCATTCACAGTGGACAGTTAGATGTCACTGACCCCGCCACTGTGGTTAAAGCTCTGCTCCAGCTCCCCACTGTCGGCAAGCTGAATTTGGATATTTGCAGAAGGCTCTGACTTGGTTAAGATAGAAGAGCTGGATTTGGCTTTATTTTATGCCTGTTGCGCTGGGAAACTGGTGCACAACAACTGGGGTCCGTGCTGCCCAGTTTCTAGCCCTCTCCAGTGAAGGCTCTGAAGGCTCCCGTGGGCTTCATGAAGTCCTCCTCCCACTGTGCCTCCATATCCATGCCCACCTGCCCAGTGTGAGCTGACCTCTGCAGCTCTGCTGATACCTCTCTTCTAGGATAGACTCCAGAAACTGGGCATTGGATGGGTCTTGATAGTTTCTGAGTTCACCACTGTCCAGCCTGAATCCACTCTACCAGACAGCCCATGCTGTATGAAAATCTCAGCTGGAATGCAGCCTCCTTTCTCCTGCTGCAATGGTAGACTCTCCCTCTGGTGCTGCCCCAAGGCAGTAGCCACCCCTGCAAATTTCTCCAGTGCTCTTGGTCACTCACTCCACAGCTACAGCTCCATGCTCTTTGGCACTTTTAAAGAGATAGGGCTGCACCTGTGGCTCAGTGGGTGGGGTGCCTGGCTCAGGAGATAGGACGCTGGCCCCATATACAGAGGACGGTGGGTTCAAGCTCGGCCCTGGGCAAACTGCAACAACAAAAAAATAGCCAGGCATTTTGGCAGGTGCCTGTAGTCCCAGCTACTCGGGAAGCTGAGGCAAGAGAATCGCCTAAGTCCAGGAGTTGGAGGTTGCTGTGAGGCGTGATCCCACGGCATTCTACTGAGGGTGATAAAATGAAGCTCTGTCTCTAAAAAAAAAGAAAGAGAGAGAGAGATTGTTCACCAGCTTGTTGGGACTTTTCTTCCTGGGGAGGCCAATAATCTGCTGTCTACTCCCCTCTATGCCCCAGCATAAAACCTCTGCTGTTCCTTCTCCTTCTCATCCTCATCTTCATCATAACGGGGTCTCTGAAGGATGTCACCCTATCATCACTGCAGGTCTCAGACGACCTTCTTCAACATCTGGCACCACCACAAATGCCCTCAGCACCTCCTGTTCACCACAGCCATCTATGTCCTGTGCTGCTTAGTTCCAGTTTAATACAAACACATGTGGTGTTTGTTTCTACACCCTTGAGACACTTCTTTAGGTTAATGGTCTCCAGATCCATCCAGACCATTGCAAAAGGTATTAATTCAACCTTTTTATGGCTGAGTAGTACTCCGTGGTATGCATAGACCACATCTTGTTAATCCACTCATGAATTGATGGGCACTTTGGTTTATTCCACATCTTTGCAATTGTGAATTGTGCTGCTATAAACATTTAAGTGCATGTGCATTTTTGATAAAAAGACTTCTTTTCCTTTGGGTAAATACCCAGTGGTATGGTTGCTGGATCAAATGGTAGGTCTATTTTAGTTCTTTGAGGAATCTCCCTTCTGTTTTCCATAGAGGTTGTACTAATTTTCAGTCCCACCAGCAGTGTATAAGCATTCTTTTCTCTCTGCATTTGTGCCAGCATCTATTGCTTTTGGACTTTTTAATAAAAGCCATTGTAATAAAGGAAAGTTGATATCTCATTGTGGTTTTAAATCGCATTTCCCTGATGATTAGTGATGTTGAGAATTTTTTCATGTTTGTGGGGTATTTGTCTTTTCTTTTCTTTTTTTTTTTTTTTTTTGCAGTTTTTGGCTGGGGCCGGGTTTGAACCCACCACCTCTGATATAGGTGGCCAGCACTCTACTCCTTTGAGCCACAGGCGCTGCTGCCCAGTCTGTCTGCTTCTGAGAAGCTTCTGTTCATGTCTTTTCCCGCTTTCTAATGGGATTGTTTGTTTTCTCCTTGCTGATTGCTTGAGTTCTTGGTAAGTTTTGGTTATTAGTCCTCTAGCAGATGTGCAGCTGGCAGGTAGTCTCTCCTGTTCTGCAGGCTGTCAGATCTGCAGGTTGTCTCCTCGCTGTCCGGATCTTGCTGTTCCTTTATTTCCTAGCAGACTGATACTTTAAAGCATAAATAAAATTAATTCATTTCTGTGTTTAAAGTCCTACATCGGGTTCCCTTAACTTGGAGGATAGAATGCAAACCCCTGCAGCACTGGAGGGTGCCCCTCAAGCTGTGCCACCCTCTCAGCTGGCTCCAGCCACACTGCTGCCTCTGTCCGTGGAGGGGCTGAGCTTTGTCCTGCTGCAGGATATGTGCTCCTGCTGTTTCCTGGGCATGTCTGTCTTTCTCCTTCTCACCTGTTTTTTCTTTCTTCCAGGTCAGGTCCAGTGTCTCTCTCTGTGAGGATCTTCCCTTTCTATCCTATCCAAAGTCGTCTGCATTTGCCACATTGCTGTGTTATCTCCTTTACAGTGCTCCTTAAGATCTAAAATGTGTTCCCTTTTCTCCACATCCACGCCAGCAACTTTGGTTTTGGGATTTTGTGATATGGGCTAATCTTACTGGAGTTAGGTGATATCTCAAAGTAGTTTTGATTTGCATTTCTCTAATGATTAAGGATGGTGAGCATTTTTTCATATATCTATAGGCCGCACA